CGTCCAAATCCAAAGGGGCATCCATACAAGTGTAATCAGAGGGATCCCAGAAGGCATCCTCACCATCATCGTAAAGTGGGGCCAACTCCTGTGGCGGAGAAGGGTCCAAACTGGACGAGAAGGCCAAGTTTGTGACGGGCTCCATATCCCGAATGGTACCCCCGCGCCGCATCCGAGCTCGAAGAAAATCACTGGACTCTCGGCGAAAAAAGGCAGACGTGGTAACCAATTTTTTCCACGCTGTCATCAAAGATCGAGGACCATCAATATTACGCCATACAATAGTGTCGCCATGCAAAACAGGATGGCGAGAACGACCCTGGCCCACCAAATCCGTCTCGATGACAGGGGCAGGACTTTGCGTTTCTGAGCGTTCGGAGACCGTGCACGTGACCTGGTCCACATCCATGTAATCCCGCAAATTGTTCTGCCATCCAGTGGGAGCAACAGAAAGCCAATTCATGTAGTCTTGAGCCTTCTGATAAATGAAACTGACACTGAGGGACTCAAAACGCTCAGTAGCCATTCGCGTTTGAAATGCCTGTGGAAGCTTACGCAACAGAATATGGGCTGCTCTCTGAGGATTCAACTGATCCGCTGTGTAATCATCCGCGACAGTTTGAAAGCGGCAGATAAACTGGCGGCACTCTCGCATCTTTTATTTCAATTCGCTTTGCGCCCAATGCGAAACGGCAAAAGCAAAGATCGCCCGGTATTGATACAATCCCAACGATGTTCGTCAGTAAAGTCGCCATCCAGCATTGGAAAGTAACGCTCTTTCAAGTCTGCGACTGATGCTGCCATCGTTGCTCCGACCCCCGCATAAACCAATCTGCCACCTTTGGTACGGGGATCAAAGTACTTCAATAAGCGCTTAATGCGGCCTGATAGAGAGGTGTCCATCAATCCAAGCGTTGGCCACAAATATCGCGATGTGTCTCTGGACCAGTAATCATACACACGCTCGGGGCCCGGATTGGGTTCCACACCAGCCATGAGGAGAAGCATCTCAATAAGCCGTCGTGACTTAGTCAGAACACTGCGAGCGACCTGTCCAGTCGTGTAGCTGCAATCGCGGATTTCGTCACCACAACTTTTTGACTGGAAACTTGCCCATGGGCGATTGCGTCGCTGCGCAGCTGGCGGCCGCGAGCGAAGCTGGCACCTCCTCTCTGACGTGTCACATGGCTGACCTGGCACGTGATTGTGCGGCACGCCGCCGTGGAGGCGGCCACACTCGCCTCCGTGCTGCCGCGCCTGGCACCCTCCTCCGCTGGGTACTCCCTCCGGCACTCGCGATGACTCGTCCTGCGCAGTCGCCTGCGCAATCGCCTGCGCAGCTGGCTGCGCCACCGCTTGCGCAATCATCCGCGTCCCGCGGTCTCCGCCCTTCACCGTACGTTCCTCCAGCTTCCCACCGGCACGCGCTCCGACCTGCTCCCATTGGCCTCCGTCGCGGCTCCCGCGGCACTCCAATCTCGGCGGGCGCGAGCTCGCCGATGCACTGCTCGCGCTCTCTCCCGCGGCCCTGGCGGATGCGCGAGGCGCCACACCCGTCGTTGCCTCTGCCATCGCTCCCGCCAAGTGAACTCTCTCCAAGGCGCGCGGTGCCTCCATGGGGCCGCGCGCCATTCGAACCGCCACGTCGCTCCTTTGCCCCGCGGCATGCCTGGCGGTTGCGCGAGGAGCTGCACCTTTCGCCGCCTCTGCCGCTGCCTCCGACGAAGGGGCTTCTGCCAAGGCGCGCGGCATCTCCACCAAGGCTCGCGGCATCTCCACCAAGGCGCCCGCCGTCCGATTCACCAGTGTCACCCGCTCGCCCCACCGCATTTCTAGCGGATGCACTCGTTAGCGTCTCCACCACTGCTCCGCCTCCTTTGCCCCCGGGACAGGTTTGCATCCACACCACCATGTTCTCCGCCACCGCCCCGGATGCCGCCCCCGTCGCTCGGCGCCTCCACATCCCTCCACGCCTTTTCTTCCGAGTCCCGTGCAATGGCGTCTCCGCGCCGTGCTGCCTCCTCCGCAGCACCCTGCGTGTCCATGCGCCCGGAACCAAGAGCGCCGCGGCGCCCATTCCCAGCGTATCTGGGTTGATCCCACACCCCGGCACCCAGGTCATGGGATGGCCAGGTCGCTGTGGCGCTAAACTTCGCAGCCGCCACTCGCCTGCGCTCCGCCCCCGCGCAGCCTCTCGGAAGGAGGCATGGCGATCCATCTCCGCCGCCCCCACCCGACAGTGCACCGTCACTGTCGCCTCCCAAAGCACCACCACCCCGAGCATCGCCAAAACAATGGCGACGCTCGGGGATGAAAGAGCCGGATGGCGGCGTTTCCCGCGTCGCCATCGGCCACCCGGACCCCCCAGGTCCGGCTCCGAAACCATGACGGGTTGTTCGAGCGTTCGTCAGCCGCGCTCGCACGGTCGCTCCCAGGCACGGGAAGCAAGCCGCAACCAGATGATGTTACAAAACAAGTGTACCAATCAAATACTGTACAAGGAAATGTCCATTCTTAGTAAATCACCATGTTCACCATATTCACCATATTTCTGCCACCATGTTCACCATGTGTGTCCAATACCACATTCACCATGTTATTCCTCACATTCACCATGTGTGTCCAACACCACATTCACCATGTTATTCCTCACAATCATCATCATGATTTTTTATAGAACAAGGCAATGAGGTAGCCGTCAGCTTCCTATTTTGCCTGAGCAAAGCAGAGTTGGTGATTGGTTCACTGGAATCTAATGAGAAATACAAATATATTCCATCAGGGATACACTTGCGTTTGACACAATACACCAAAGCAATCAGTCGCAGAATGCGTGGACCTTCCATGAGTGAGCGTGTGTGTGCACCAGGTATCCACGCGGGGATCCCAACGGGCTGACTGTGCCACAGCTGATGCAAAGGACCCGACAAGAGAACATTGACCTAATGTTCTACCGAATCAAGCCACAGTGCACGCAGAAAATGGAGAAGTTGTTCAGGGACCAGTACGGCCACCCCAACACGAACAAGAAGCTGACGGTACGGACCTGTTCGTCCCAAGCAAGGTGGGATCAACCGCCCGCACTGGTGATGTTGACAACAAAGCGCGTGAGGTTATGATTGGAAAATGGAGGATGGCGTAAACTGATCTTATAATTCTTCACGGCGTCAAGAAATTGATAACCATCTGAGCCCCACCCAAGGATCCCAAGGATCAAATCATATAGGGAGGGCAGAAGCTATCGAGTGGTTTTCTGGAAATGGGCGTTTTGTCCTCATGCGTGTGGACATTTGTGTGGTCGAAGGGCCGGAGTTGATTCGTGCACCTGCGCTGATTAGTTGAATGCACGCAACGCCACAGTTGCTTGCTTGTAAAATTAAAGTCGGAATGATTGTGGGCGTTTCACAGCTTCCTTTGACTGCATGTCGACGCTCAAATTCCTCCCAACCGTATTGGGTTGGAACCAGATTCACAGCAACCACGCGACGACACCCTTCACTATCGTCTGAATTCCGCATAATGAAAAAACTGTGAAGTTCCAAGTCGTTTCTGCGCATCCGCCTAAGGTGTCTGAGACCCACGTTGTATTGGAATTACTCCTCCAGTTCCCTTCACCCAAATTTACGTTGAGGTTCCTTCGCAAGATACTCGTGGTGCTTGCGCCTGGCAGGCGACGATGTGCATATAATCATCGTGCACGTACGCACATGTGTTCCTTGTCCCTAATCTGAACACAAAGCTCTAAGCGCATGGCGATTGTCGGGTGCGTCTGAGACTTCCTGACTTCGCTATATTTGGGTTATCCCTCGTTTCAGACCTGTCAGAGGAGCATCACCCCGCATTCGGCATATGTCACCGCTGAACCAGCGTGAAACAAAGCCAGCTGTCCTTTGGGGCACCAGCAACCACTTCGCTGCGCTCCAAATTGCAAGCCTGACATTGCAAATTGCAATAGCCTGGCTAGACCATGCCGCTTCCCGGCAGACAGCCAAATGTCTGCCAACTTCCAAGAGTAGGCAATCTAGTGCACTGTTGTCCCAGTCGCTCAGGTTTGTTCAAGAACGTGCTTGCACGATCCAAATCGCCCCTTTCCCAAAATCACGGGGCATTAATCCTCATCAATTGATGGGAGGGCGCGTTCCCGGACAAAAGAAAAGTGGCAATCCAGAAACTGCGCACCATGTCATCGATGTAGGCAGTCCACAACATATTCGACGATCTGGATATGGGCACCGACATGGTAGACGCCACATTCAGGACATGAGCCTTTTGCCCTACGCTGTCAGCCACCAGTTGTCCCCACCGCATATGTAGCTCCCTTACCATGTGTCAAGCGCAGTTGCACCGAGTGGAGAGTGAAGAGACGCGTGGCGAGCGCTTCGCCATTCGTTCTGTTCCAGCCCAAACTGTTTGCAACGCAGCACCTATCTGCGCTGGGACCTGTTGTGCCGCCAGGGTCTGCTGGATTCCAGCCAAGTCGCCATAAGCGCCTCAGGCCAGCCTGCCGCTGCGCTCAGTACTTTGTGAACGCAGCCAGCTGAAGATTGCCCGGAACTCAACTCGCAGGCGTGCCTGGCATGCGCCATAAGATTGAAAGCTTTGATTTCCGCTACAAAACTGAGATTCTGGATGAAAGGCGTTGCTTCGATTGCGACACGCGACCCCGTTTATCTGAGCAGATGTGTAGACACAGGACATGCGCTTACTCTGCTCCCGACCTGCGCTCCGCTCCGCTCTCGCCCTACATCGCATTTCTTGTGAATGGGCCCCGTCTTGGATTGTGCATAGCGACAAACACTTTGGCTGGCTGTAATGCAATTTCACAGGACATGCGCCCGCTGAGTCGTGCATATACACCATCAACGCCCATCCATCCAGAGTGGCGCCCAGATGGAATCCTCCATCAGCTGCCGCGTCTGCTCACAATCCAAAACTCATTCAGCACTCAAATGGCAGCGTGCGCCTGGCGGATCTCAGGCCAGCTGGGCCATTGAACGGCTCTATCTCGCGGTGCCGAATTTTCGCCCCAGCGTCAAAAATGAGGTCTGCGCCTCCCACTCGAGCCGGGCCAGTTGTTCCACACTCTGGCGAATTTGCTGCATGTGCTCTGCCGCTTGCGACGTGTCCCCACCGCCTCTCTGTTGGCCGTACGCGACGGTGGAGCGTGCCTGAATGCTGGCGGGCAGGCTCATGTCGGGGCCCAACGTGTCTATGGGGTGGCCGATCCTGGCTTCTATGTCCTTCAAGTACTGCGACTCGTCGTACCTGCCAGACGGCATCAATGGGACCATCGTCAGCCAAATAGTATTTCCTTCGTACCCATATTCTTTTCAGAAAAGCTGTATAAGGTTCAGTACTTTGTTGTACTTGCTTGTGTGCTCGACACAGCGTTTGCTGAAGATTCAGCCTACGCGCCGGGCGACGTGGCAGAAGTACCAGTGCAACCGGGTGCAAGGATGTATGCCAAAGAGTCTGCACGTGCCCCTCGTAGTCCTGCTCCACGCTGCCATCACCCACTGCCGCCACCAATGCTACACTCTGGAGAGACAATGAGCATGAGGCAATGACCTCTCATCGCTGGCAAAGACAACGCGAATCAGCACTCAATATAAAACGCATGGATGCATGACTTGAACCACACAGCAACGCCGCAACCTGCTTGATGTAAATTAAGCGGACAAGTACCAGTCTTCATTGGCCACACCTTTCCGTGACTTTTTCATTTCGCGCAGCTTTGGCGCCTAGCTGGCACGTAACTCAGGAGCGGCTCTTTCCAGTTCATGCTGCACTTCTTATTTGACAATTCATTACGTGGCGTGGGCCATTCACTGCAACGTTCCCTGTAGGCTTCTGGGAGGGAGTTGCGTAAAGCCTCACCACACTGTGTGCCCTCCTTCCTTGTTCGTCCGCGTGTTCTCCGCATCAGGCTCCAGCCACGGTCGGTACCCCTTCACGCTGCAGTACCACACCTTCTCTGGGACTGTGGACACGATGGAGATGGCCAGGCCCATGGTGTCCGCGCGCCCCACGCGCCCCACCCTGTGGATGTAGTCCTCCGACCTGTCGGGCAGCGTCATGTTGATGACGTAGGGCAGCTCCCTGATGTCTATCCCTCGGGCCGCGACGTCGGTGCATATCAGGAAACGAACCTCGCCAGCCTTGAAGCACTGCGCGTCGCATGTGCAGTCGTCAACCACAAGCAAACTGGGAGCAAGCATCCAGATTAATGTATTCTCCGTCACCACCTCAAAAGGTGTGAATTAATGTCCGTTGCAATCTCAGAGTTGCCTGGCAATGTCCAGGCATGGCGCTTGAGTCGCGAATCAACCTTCATCGCGATTATTGCAGTGCAGCCACGCAGTGCCATTCGGAAGTATGCATTGCAAGGCAGAAATCAGTCACCATCAGAGGGTGTATGGATGGGGATGAGCGGTGGCTGAGCAAGCGTGCCCCAATTCCGCTGCACTACACATCCTGTCCAGAAACATGATGGTGCGCGAAGAGACGTGCTGGAAACGGACGCAAGCAACTTGGGTCGAAAGAGCGTGAAACGCACAAGAGGAAATTGTTACGACATACCGCGAAGTATTGAATCCTTTCGCATATTAACGTGACGCTTGGCACTTTTTGGAGGAGGAAAATCAAAACAAAGATAAAAGAAAATAAGTAATGTTCTGAAAGCAAAAATGCTGAGAAAAAGGCGTAACAGCAAAACTTTTTGATGTGAAAGGGTTGAATATACTACGGTACTACAGAAAAGGCAGTGTCCATTGTGATCACCTCAAGGGCCATTCTTCGTTCGTGCATGTTCCTGGCGCCTGCAAGGACTGCACAAGAATAGGGATTCTCTTTCCCGTGTTCCCTCCTTCCCCTGGTGAGCCAGCAAGTCGAACATTTAAAGCCACTCATTAATAGTCTTACACCATGCAAGAGACAACAGGCGGGGAACTGGTGTGGTTGGATATGCACACAGAGACTGGCTGTCGCCTGTTCATTAGAGCTGCACTTGAATCTAGTCAATTTTTGGTACAAATCAACACGTTGTGGTAGAATACAGATATCGAATTGGCACGTGCCAATATGTAGTCCTGCACAGAAATTGAATGCAGAACACAAACACGGAGTCCACAGTACTTGTGGGATGAAGGGAATGGCAAAGCGCCAAACAATACCGCATTGACCACTGCCAGAACATCCACACATCTCCGGCAAAGTGTGCTGCTCACAAATACTGTCGTTCATTACTGTAACACAACCCCTAGCCCATTCGCTCACACAGAGCAGCCTTAGACTTCCAAGATCAGACAACGCACACCTGAAGCCCTGTCCCCCGCCCAGCTGATTCAAGAACGTCTCCAGATTGTCGCAGTCGAAATTGGTGCGGCAAAATATGAGGCACTGGTCCATCTTGTGCGCATCGATGATGCGCCGGAGTATCCTCGGCTTCAAGCGCTTCACGGCCTCGGAGTAGCACTCCTTTGTGCTTACGTTGGGTCCAATGCTGTCCAGGACATGCACGTTGTCCGTTGGAACCTGAACATCCATAGACAATGCTCGGCACTCTGCTCCTCTAGACCTGTGCAATGCCAAGGGGCTGATCAAGAATGCTGAAGGCACAGTAGAAGTGCCATGCCAGGGACATGCCCTTGAATGGATGACCAAATGGCCGACTTGGCCAGAATCCGGAATGCTGGGCATCGCACACCAAGGCTTGCATTTTCATGCGATGGTGTGGGAGGGTAAACTTGTGCTGCAACGTTTCCAGATGCATCAGCGCACCTCTATTTCGTGCCGCACCCTACAATGGAACCTTGCACATCCTGTACAACATAGGAATGCCCATTTTCCCATAACAGTTCCGCGTTCTATTTCCAATTTCACCTTCTGAGCATTTCAGTTGGCCTTACAAAGCCTCCAATGTTCGTACTACCACCATTATGCGTACAATATTTGTAGAACAACCACGCCCACACAGCTCGCATGCCTTCTGTAGCTCGCACACATAAATCCAAAACGAACAACACATTCTAACCCCATTGCAAAAAACATGCAACAATCGAATTTCTCCCTTTACAGGCAGATGAGCGCATTTGAAACATTTGCACCTGAGGAGCATAGATGGAGTGCTGTGAATCTGCCACACAGGGATGTGTGTCATTGCACACAGAGACAAATCTATTCTGGTCATTTTGCAAGCACCTGGGCCAGTTGCGCGGGTTCTTTATGCGTATGGTGTGCCTCCCTGTGTGGCACCGTCAAGGTGCAGGTAAAGTGTGCAGTGCTAATGTGCATATGTACAGCGCAATGGACATAATGTGTTGTGCACTGTTCCGTCAGATGATTGGAGCAGTCTGATGTTGTGTCTAAGTGTAGAGGTACGATTTGTAGCATGCACACTGTACTGTGTTGTAAAGTGCAGTACTGTACAGTGCAAAGTGTATTTATAATATTGAGCGGATCATTCTCTCGGCAAAAGATCCTGGATCTTACAATAATGGACCATTATTGTGGTATGCCACACTGCCATTATGCCGTTGATTTCGATGTGCCAGTAAAGCCAACTCCATCTGCCGCATTTGTTTCCACTGACAGACTTCGCTCAAATCGGAGCACCAAAGGCAAAAGCATCAACTGGAGGGAGAAATGTAACCATTCAATGTCTAAAGACACAAGTGAATGCAACCACTGAAGACCTTAAATATCCATCGAGGAAACGAACACAAGCTCTGGAGATATTGGAAATCCGTTAACACTTGATGGACAAAGCCATTCTGTGTTCAACGTTCAGAGATTCCCATAATAGCAGCTATGCAGACATGCACGCACCACAAACTTGGAAACTGATGCATTGCCATTGTTGTGTAGTCGTGAGTATTGGGGGTTGCACAATTGGAAAGTCCAGGATGACAATAGTGGGCCTCTGTACTACTTTGCTCTGACCCACCCCTGGTGCCAGGCATCAAAAGCGACGTTGAAAGTCGCAGTTCTGAATGCAAGAGACACTTGATTGATTGAAGGGCAGTCACAGCTGCCTGGCTGGATACTGTTTCATGCAAGTATGCTGTGAGCACAGCATTTCATCAATGCATGCAGTGTAGCTTCTGCCCAGCAGTAGCTCACTGTCCAAAATGGACACTAGGTGATTTGATACTAGTGGGTCATCCTTGACATTGGGAGAATAACTTTAGGAGATGACAATCACCAGACATGATGCATGCCAATCTGCACACCTTTGGTGCTGTCTGCAGCCATGTCCTGTCTTCGTGAGGGTCAGCCCTGACAATCACGTGGTCCACAGTGTCTGGTACCGAGCCCTTCCCTTTGAGATCGATCACGATGGGGTTTTGGCAGATCTGAGATGACAGCTGCTTGACTTCCTCAGAGTGCAGAGTTGCAGAGAACATCAGCACCTGCAGCCTGTCCATTCCCTTGCCGCTCTTTGGGAACTGCCGGAAAAGCTGCATGATTGCAGGCTGGTTGCCAGTGTCCAACAGACGATCTGCCTCATCAAGGACAAAAAAGCGGACCTGCACGCAGATTGACAGGATTTGAGATTGTCAGGCAGTGAAACCATCCACCTTGGCATGCTCAAGCCCCCTGTCAGCATTGAGGCTATTTCAAGTGGGGGGAATGGCACCTGTGTTTCCACCCCAACGCCATTGTGGGAGTTTTCGAGACAGTCTCTGGCAGTGTGCAATTGAGCGGCCAGTACATTGTGCAGCACAAGATCCGAGCATGTCCTTGGGCAGATATCAAATGTGAAGCCCCAACGCTGACGATGCACCTGACTGATCTGCCTGTGACTATCTGTGGCAGGTAGTGCCAATGGATGAGCCCAGCACTCGATTAGCATGAGCAACGACAAATGACGCCAATCATCATGCCACTGAACCATATACGTATACAGATTCTGCTCCAAGTCCAACAGGTGGTGAAACATTGGTGTCACACAGGCTTCATTAAATGATGTCCACTATACAATACAAACTGTATTGCATGTAGTCCTGTAGGTCCTGTAGGTCGCGTATTGTGTGTAGTCCTGTAGGTGTCAGCAGTGGTCCATGTACTAGCAACATTTGATCATCACAGTAATGAAACTGAAAGCAGACCATCAACTACAGCAAATTAGCACAAACCAGGCTACAGTGCTTCATCACTGCCCCAGTGGCACCACATCAACTGCACCACAATGTGTTCACAAGCTTGACACCTAGCCCAAGAAGGGTTTGGGTTAATTGCCCTTTAATGTGTTTGCAAAGGCACTCATGCAACACAATGTGTGTGTGCTGCTGGTGTTGTTGTTACACAGACTAACTAAAGCTTGAGCACACAAAGAGCATCTTGTCTCTCCTCCATGTTACCAAATTTCCAACGTCCGCCACCTGGGACTCCATTTCCCAGCAGTGGCTGGCGGTGCCACTCACTGTGTGTACTCAAGTCCAGCGTCTACAAATTGAACACAACTGCGAAACCAGGGCCAAACACCTCGAATGCAAAGAAGGCCAACATTTTGTGCACAAGTTGTAATCAAGAGATGATCTTGCACAGATTGGAAGCACCTTGTCCACTGACAGCTTTCCGCTGTTGATGAAATCAGTTATCCTGCCTGGTGTCCCAGTGACAATGTCCACCCCCTCCCTTAGGGCCCTGGCCTGTGCCTTGGCGTCCACGCCCCCAACAAACAGAGCATTGGCCACAGTGGGTGCCTTCAAATACTTTCCAAAATCAGTGATGCAGTCGTGGGTTTGCTCTGCCAGGTCGCGTGCTGGCTCAAGGATGATGCACAGAGGTCGACGTTCACCACCATGAGCTGAACGTGGAGGGTCCATGGCTGTTGCCGTTGTGCTGGGGGGGGCCTGCAGACAGTGGCATGCATTGGTGCTAATGTGGTCTTTTGGCTGAAGTAGTAGTTAAAGAGGTTTGCAGTTGGGCTTGGGCCATATTAGTCGCAGAAAAGACAATATCATGGCAAAATTGCACCTATTGGATGCTTGGGACCATATCACCAAAGGGGTGTTCTGTGGGTGCGTATTGCAGGCAAATGGGGGGTTTGATCGATGGCATTGACACCGAAAATCGAAGAGAAACTTCGTCTGACAGCTGGGCCATTAGTGTGCCAAAGTGTGCACCAGCTTTTGCCACATTTATCCTGCTGAACATGACCTTCAAGAACTTTCTTGCCCAAGCACAGACAACAGCACATACTGGATTGTGCAAGAGACAAGTTGACACAACACACCAAATGCAACACTCTGATCCAATGGCCTCTCAAGCACTGATCCAATGGCCTTACATGCCCAGATGCAGGCAGCATGGCTTGGAACCTGCCTGGAAAAAGGGATTGTCATCATGTAAGCTGGTGGTGAGAGAGGCTTGGCACAGAGAACACTTTCGTCCAGTTCAACAGCGATGCAACGATGGACACCCCAGGCAGGACCTACAGATGCAGCTGGTGCCCTGTGCAGTTTGTAAGTTGCCCCGACCACTTGCACGGCAGCCCAAAGCACCAACGAGTATTTTCTCTTCTTTGATCAGCTAGTTTGAGACAAAATTGGTTCTGTCTGTCATGCGGTTTGTTCTGTTAATAATTCACAACCGCCATAACATGCAGTGTTGGAGCATTATGTTTCTGGAAATTCTATTGATGGCAGCACAACCTGCCACAAAATGACAACAACCTTTCGCAGAGACCCTCATACGCACAATTCTGTAGTGTTTCAGAACTGCTGCTTGGAGAGCAGCTAGAAACAATGGACTGGTTGACAGCATTTTATGGTTGATGGCAAATACAGATTGGCGATTGTCCAGACCTTGGCGATGCCGACAAAGCCAGGGGGCGGATCGTATTCAAAGGCAGTTTCTCCAAAGTTCACTGCCATCTCTGCATTCTTCAAGCAGATGGTGGGATAAAACACCTGCAAGAACAGCGTTCGCCAGACGTTGCTAAACACAGGGGGAAAATTGGCATTGCACACACAGCTCCCATCGCAGTTATTGTACATTTATTGTTGGCACAAATACCCGTAGCAACCCACACGCAATCAAACAAACCAACACACAGGACATGTTTAGGCACTGTGCCCTGAGGTCCAGCTCACTCGCAATACGAAAAGTTGCCTTACATGCAAGCAAGAGGAGGAGTCAACTAAGTTATCCATGAAAAGAGCATGGCGGAACACAGTGACCAGGTCCTGTATTTCCGCATCAAAGCAGATGCACACTGAATGAGTGACTGTGGCAGGCGCAAGAAAAGATACTTACAGGTTTCTTGAAGTAGATTTTTAGTGCGCAAGGAGTTGACAGCACTTCATCCTAAAATTGTACAATCCGTGGTGTCCATTCACTGTGGGGTACGACTGGACATATCAGGCACATCCTGGTGCATGGAGTTGTTATTACGCCCATTGGCATCTGTTGATGTTTGGCACTATTGCGTTGTGTGCAATCAAAGCATTTCACCCATCGTCACTCGCAAGTTGCGTGGGCCATGTCTGATGTTTTGGTTAAAAAGCAATCAAATTAACTTCAACAGAAGGCAGAGACATTCAGCAGCTCTTGAAAACTTTGCCGTTATGTGGGGACAGGACCACATTCAAAGCCTGATTTTAGCTACAAACCAAGAGGCTGTGTGGTCGATTGACGAGATCACAACAGCACACATCACGACATTCTGCTCCATGATGGGCTCACCTGTCCCTGCAGATTTTGGGTGACAGAGAAGGCAACCCCAAGATCCTGCCCGTTCTTGGAATAGGACACCTGCATGGTCTCAGAATCAAACATGCACCCGATCGTGTCCCCTAAACCGTACAACTCCCCATAGTCGTCAAACCGGCGTTTGTGCGATTTCTTCCCAGTTCCACCATAGCCGAAGCTCTGAGCATCGAAGCCCAAGCCATCGAGTTTGCTCGCTTGAGTTGACCAGCCAATTCGACACAGCCCTTCATCAGTGACCTTTGCCTGCAATGCAGGGAATAAGCAGTAAAGTGCGTTTTGCACTCTGATGACTGCACAATAGTGTGCCTGCCCATTCAGGCGTTGAAGGGGGAAACAGATCAGCTATATGGGACAGCAGAAAACAGCACATGTACATGTATGCACAATAGCAGACATGTTTTGCCATAGCAAGCAAGTCACTGTCCATGATCATTAAAGTGGATCGCACAGCAGGGTGGTGTGCGGCCGTCGGCACCACCACGAGTTGCAATATCAAGTGCTGACCTACCCATGGTGGTGCACAATCCTCAGCAACACTGTACTGTGTGCAAAGGAACGAGGAAGCAGCAAAACACAAGTGCACAATACCGAGGCCAACGATGCAGTTCTTAGGACTTTGCAATGAAACTGATGGTGTCCATGCTACTGTTCAGCTAGGATCTGTGATCATGGGAGATCTAACAAACACTGGCTCGATAGTGAATTCACACCCCTCATGCCTGCATGGTGCAAGGGGTTTGTTTTGCTGTGTGCCAGCTTTTGAGAAATGAAATCTGTGGAAACTGGGATAGCAGTGCACATTCGTATCCCACCTCATAGTACACCTTCCCAGCAAACACTCCAACCGTCGCTCTGCACCCTGCCCAGCTCTGAGGAGCCCGGCTCTGGCACCTCAACCCTATTCCAGCAGTGGCCAATCAAAAGTGAATGTTCAAGTTGAAGGAATGAACGCCGTGATGACTAACACCAAAGCACAAACGCCGAAGAAGACCATGACAATAGAATGGCTGAGGCTCATTGTCAGTCTGGCGAATTCATTACTATGCTCGTGTGTTGCACCATCAATAACTCCAGCTTCGCAACAGCCAGAAAATCGTAAAACCCAATTGGTTGCCAGCACAAACTCCACAGCTGCAGCTTCCACATCCTCCAGAACTAGTTGAAAGCTACTGAAACACTGATAAGAGTTTTGCATACCCAGTTCTTCCCAAAAGCCAGAAACCTGCCAGAAGCTGAGAGGACATCAGTCAGAATTTCACTTCCATGGCACATACCATCTGGCGATATGGCGAATACTGCATCCCTGTCTTGGACATTCAGCTGGCACCTGACATTTTGTTGGCTGCTTCCATTTGATTGTGATACCCCTTTTCCAGCCGATGCAGACTTTCTAAGCGCCTCATGAACGATCTGAAGAATGGGCAATGCAAAAGCCTGCGATACCACAAACATTGTTTGTAGAGAACAAAGACACAGACAAATACTATTCTGGGCGCACATGTGGTTCTCTGACTCACAGTGCTAAAGAGTTCACGACCTTTGTGGTAGACTAATCAGTTAAGGCATCGTCAGTCACTTGATTGTCTTTATTGATGCCATAGAAATTGGATCACAAGCATACACGGTATGCCTCTACAATGCTAGACTTGATGGTCTACAGTCGCTTACATCTTACATTCTTGGAAGTCATGAAGCTGCTCTTTTGCCCACAGGCAATGACTTTGATTCAAGCTGTTGGTATGCACTGTTCTTCCTCTTGGCACAGCCATGCATTGTTGTGAGCCCTTACATGCTGCAAGCAAAACTCATGCTGTCTGACGATCTGAACGCAGTAGAAGCACTGCCTTATCTCGGGTGTTACTCTGCACATTGCTGCAATGGCTTCATTCATGCGTTGCCATCACACCCAAACACCGAAAATGGACTAACTACTGAGCAGATCTTTCTGTCAACTTTCGGATGAGCAGTTGGGATCAAGCAGTCAGAATGCAGAGCCCAATCTTCATCAACTTGGAGGTGCTATGGCACTATATAACAGAGCGACAATTGGGATCTGAACATTCACTCAGCAGTGTCACGCGGATCCGCACTCACCCCAGTTTTTCCACTCCCAGTCTCGGCAGCCTGCAGCCAGGGACATTTCAGGCTTCAAAGAAGTGACCACCACCACCAGCCATTCGCACCAGTACCTTTCTCTTTCTCAAAGACACGGAATTTTGACCATGACTGGGAGAACATGGCACTCTTGACATCCTACAAGGCACTACAAGGCCCACATTTCTTCCGTTGGGACAGGGGGTGGCACCTGACCTCTTAAATGTGATACAATGCTGTGGAACAAGAAACAACAAGTGAAAACCAGGACAGGCACTTGTGGAGACAGAGATATTCCTGCTGGTCGATCAGACTTCCTTAAACAAGTTTTGCACAACAGAGCAGGGTCTCATAATTGTCACTGCTGAGGACAGGGATGCCCACTGACTTCCTTGCTCATTTTCCCATACTTGTCAGCCTTTGGTCAACCAGTTCACAGTGAAGATGAAATGCCCCAGTGAGTGTGACATGCACTGTCACATCCCATGCATTAGTGGCGTGTGTAATAAAGGGCACAGATAGCCGCAAATTCATGACAAGGGGGATCCAGAGACAACACAAACAAGCATACCAGCTCATGTCTGCCAGGTAGGCAATTGTAGCAATACGGGATGGCTATGTCTCAAGAATGAACCACCTTTTGCAATGCGTCCTATCAATATGGAGTAGTTAGCAGCACTCTTGAATGAGCAGAACCAATGTTGAATATCAGCTTGTGATGAAAGGTGTGGTTGGCGTGGGACAGTGTCATGGCCGTCACCCCTGCAAGGTGCAAAGGCCCCATTTTGTCTTTTGAAAGCAAATGCAAACAAAGGAATTTAGCGAGGGAAATGTTAGTTCAAATATGCGCACCGCCATGATGTCCCCTCCCCCGAGAATCAGAGGCACGGATTCGGATTGTATGGGAGTGGGCAGCCTGCAAGGTGAAGCCCCAAAAGAAAACCAGTCATTGCATGTCCCACGCTCGAACATCTGTCCTGGAACCAGACAAGGTGCCAAATGCCAGTGGTTGTGGTCAGGACGGGCCCTTCAGGAGGTGATTGCAAGCACCGTTGTGACGATCAAGGTACTTTCTTGATTCTCACAGCCCAGACAGGGCGTGAACTCAAACGAGGACAGCCAACACTGATGCTCGCAGGAAGCAGAAGCAAGTCATACAGAGTGCGCCCTGCCAGGCAAAACTGTGCAGGCCCTCTTCCACACCGAATGAGGTGACTCATAGCTCTCATCATCCATGAGAAGAAGCGCGCAGGAGCGAAGGAGGGCCTAACGCTGCACAGGAATCCCCGGCCACCAAACTCCCCGGCGCGATTCAAGGCCTGCGCTCCAATGCCTCCGTTCATCGACAGCCGCGAAAGATCCGACCAGCTGAGCGACCCGACTGCTGGCCGCGAACAGCTGCTCCGATACAAGCTGGGTACAAGATCCATCAAACTCACATCCATCCCAGGTCCTCAACCGCCCTGATCAGCTCAGGCATCAAGCCCACCTCCGCGAATGCCGCCATGGCGTCGAGGGCGACGCCGAAGCTCGTGACGCCCGTTGCGGTAGGAACGTGCGAGCGGCCGGCGGGGATCAAAGAGGGCGCTTTCTAGGGGTGTTTAAAGACCAAGGCAAACTGCGTTGTTTGTTTGTTGGGTTTTGGCGCCAAAAGTCCATGGAAGGATTTGGGAGGCTTTGGCTAACGTGAACTGGAAATCGGGCCACATCATCATGAACGAAGGGCACATGAACAGTAGTACAATTGAGCAATTGGACACACGCGCTGTAGGCAGCCCACGGATGGGAGGCATCACCGCACTTTGCGACTTAATTCTGCGGCGGATCGGTCTTTTCGTGTGCCGGCGTGGGGTGGCAAGCTCCGCCATGAACTCCAGTGCCAAAACAACATCCGAAATTACAATCGTCCATGGGGATCCTCTCCTTGATGGTCCATTGCACGAGGCACCAATCACCAAATGACCGCCTCCAGCCATTGGCGCCACTCGTTTGAAGTTTTCTCGCGCTGCCATGTCCCGCCGCCGTGTGAGAGACGTCGATCACCTTGGAAAAAAGTTTCACTACTGCCATCTCAGAGGGCGCCCATTTTTCTCGGCACTATGACTAACTCATGCACAGCACCAATCAATCTCGCTAACAGTGATATTGGCAATAATGCCGTGCAATATCCGACCTGTTTCGCTTATATCCTACCTCCCTTTTTGTCCAATAGAAAACGACGCAGGCATCCATAATGACCGCAAATCGATGGTTGATCGAGTGCATCTTTGCGGAAATTTGTTAAGGGCCCGACCACCAGGCCTTTGTCCACAGGCGTCGCGCCAACCACCATCACGCAGCGCCGCGCGGTTGGCCACAGGCGGCCTCCGGTCTTTGGCGATGCTGAAGCCCGCCGCGAAGGGCGGCCTCTCGGCCAGGGCACCGTCCCTGGCCGCTGTGGAGGCGCGCATGCGCCGCCTGTCCGTTTCCTGCGCGGCTGCCGCGGAGCGCCCCGGACCAGGTGCGACTTGTGTCCCGGCGGGTCGCGGTGGCCGCGGCGCCGGCGGCGCTGTGACGTTGCGGGAGGTCAGGGGAATGGATGGCTCGCGTTTGAGCTCCCGGGGAGCGCTGAATGGGCTCTGAGGTCTCGCTGCGCCTGTGAGGATTGGGCATTGTGATGTTGGCCCATCATTCGCTGTCGGCGTGATTGTGCGGCGGTGGAAAGGTGGCGGGATAAAATTCGAAGGGATGCGAAAAGAAAGAATCATGATAAGAGCTCGACCTCATCTCCGATCCTTGGCGGCTGCGTTTCCTATTGTTGTAAGTGCGCCGTCGGCCTAGGGAGGAAAGGGCCCGTCTTGTGATGCGCCAAGTGGCGCTTAGCGATACTTGTTGGCCGGGGGCGCCTGCAGCGAATTTGGTTTGCCTCACGACCTCCCACGCTGACGTTCTGGCGCAATGGCTTCGTGCTGCACCGTGCGACTGGTGGGAGTGAGCTCATCACCTGTCAGGCACCAAGGCAGGCGATGTCACAACTGGACGGATATAGTCAAATGGCTAGATTGCACCGTACAGCTGTCGAGGTGCCCGAACGCGTCAACTGGGTAAACTGTTTTCTTGCCTTGGTCTCCCACCTGACAGGAGCAAGCGCTGAACTAGGATTCGTAAAGCAATGGAGCGCTTCCCAACAGCACAGCCAAAACCAAAATAGCACAGGAGGGGCGTTGAATTAATGCACCAATTGTGCAATGCCATTTTGCATGTCATGTGTGCGTCGCAGTACCTGCCTTTACAGAAAGTCGAGTCAGGAAACTGATATGCTGCCTTTTATACACGTTGATGGCAGTGGGAGGAGGCATGCAAGATTATCGGCATAGCAACACCTTGCAGCATATTCAATCTGCAGTTATACTGTCGTGGCACAGCAGGCCATGTGCAGTTCCCATCATCACCTGAGTGCTCTTGAGCCTAGCTCGTGGCGATTGTGCTTGTTTCTGTCGCATTTGCTGGCATCATGCAGCTCCCAATCCTCTTTGTGCATTGACCATCTTGTGTCCTTATGCATGGTATCTTGTTGGTTGCTTGTAGTTCTGTGCTGTCCTGCTCACTTTGCCTGCAAGGGCTGGCATCATCCCACACCCAAACTGCTGCATGTATTAGCTATTACCCACAACCACTGGCATTTGGTTTGTTGTATGCAGTGCCTGAGTTTGTTCAGCCGCCATCGGTGAGGGGAAAGCTGGGGCCCAAGTATGCGATCATTGAGGTTGGGGGCAACCAGCAATTTGTGGAGGAGGGTCGTTGGTACACATGCAACCGACTGAAGGTGTGCACTAACCAATGCATCTGAATTCTGTATTAGCAAAACTGATCCCTGCAATAGACAACCCAGCCCCACGGTTCACAATTAGCAGAAAGTTTGTACTTCTAAGTGAGCAATTCGATTGATGACATTCCAGATTTGTAATTCTTTTCACCCCGCAGAGTGGCTTTGGAGCTTCGAAGAGCAGTGTGGGGTGTGCCTATACCTAGCAAAAGCATTGAGGGTGCTTGGTGCCGCTGCCAATGTACTTTTGTCCGTGTTCACCGGGATATGACTTGTCTCCACAAGAGGTTGTTATGTTATCTTCATGCAATAATGTGCTTTGCTCCCGTGGGTGCTTTGATAGTGGCCTATGTGGCTCTTCAATTCCGATGAATATATCCTTGGTGTCCAACTATCCATTGGAGGGTGTTTGGAAAACGAGCTGCAAACACAAAATGCCTGCCGAAAAACGTGTCGCAGAAACAAATTGGACAAGGGTGGGTTGCAAACACCAGTATGCGGTAAGTACCCAGAGAACGCGCTGAAAATTCAACATGTGAAAAGCGGCTCAACATGCACAAAAAACTTAGCAGCCACGAAAAGGAGCCCCTTGGACCTTCCACGATGGAGTCCTTGCCCTGTGAGGAGGCGGGTTGCCAGACGAACACGTTGATCTGGCCAGCACTGCCTTGTGCAATTGCGCTGAAGGTAGAAGGACAAACTGCAGAGGTGTTGGCTTAGGATCTAGCCAGCAACGTGCTCTTCTGACTTGTGTGTGACACGCGTATTCATTCCTATCAGCACTGCCTCGTGCTGCTGGTGTGAAGGCCAAAGGGCAAACCAGCAGATATGTGCTCCTGTGTTGTTTTGACATGTGTATTCTTACCTGTCTGCACTGCAGGGCTGCGACCCAGGCGCCACAGTTAAATTTCCCAGGGTTCTGGCAGCCAAGGACAATGGACGGCTCCGCGTGGGCCAACCCTACCTGGAGGACGTCACCGTTGAGGGCGACATTGTGGAAGAGCTGCGTGGGCCCAAGATTGTGGTGATGAAGTTCAAGCCAAAGAAACACTACAAGAGAACTCAAGGACACCGACAAGACCTGACGAAGTTCAAGATCACGAAGATCAGCGTCGAGTGATCCAGCATCGCTTGGCCCACTTCGCGGGCCGAAGAGGAGTCGATTGCTGGCAGGGATGCGTGCTGATGGGGTTTGCTGTGAGGGATGCAGAAGAAAACAATTTCGGAGGGAGATAATGGTTCGGACTGAGGCGTTGTCAATTTTAATTTCATTTGTGCTGAGACGTGCTTCCTTCAGCCAGTCATTGGCTTCTGACATCCGCAACTGCCCCCTTGTTGTGTGCCACACGTCGGGAGAGGAGATGCGAGCATCGCTTGCACGGTGCCACAATCAGTGCCTTGGGTTGCGAGCTTGGCAACTACACTCCACGGGCACTGCTTCAGCGCGATCAGCCCACAATGCAAGTGTTGCACGCCGTCCATACATGTTGACAACCCTTTCACAGAAAGGCCGACGGAAAGAGTGGCAGCACCTCTGACAGATCCGGCCCCGGCTACAGCTGTCTACCCTTGAAACAAAAAATCCAGCCCAGCACACCCAGGCCCTCTCGTGCTGCAGGGACTGCCGCCACTGCAGTAGAGAGCTTTTCTCCCGGTGATAGCCAACCTACAAAAATCAAAACTGCAGAAACTGAAGCCCAGACCCAATTGGAGGCCGATGCATCAGTCCAAACAGGCATTTCGGCGGGCGCCAGTCCTGTTGCAAGGTCCCAAACCTGCTAGGAAGCTCCAAGGGTCCACCCACAGCGTGGGCTCTACCGATGATCCAGGGTGCACATGGAAGGTTGGTGGAAGGTGCAGGGCTTGCTAGGCAACGCCCAAGCGACCTTCCCGCCAACTACCAGCGTGATCGTGATGAAAGTCGTCGTGAAGATCATCGTGATGGCGTTCACCCTCAACCCCTCTGGACTATCGCACCAGCGGCAGCAGTGTCATGGCCACAGATCTCCCTGACAATATGCAAGCCAGTCCAAGGTGTTGAATTCGAACAAAAGGCTCCGGACAAAATGGCAAATAGGTCCTACAATCTCTTGGGCGGCCCCATGCGTGACAATGCCTCCAGGGTCTGGCCCAGGCTTTCCGTTGTGGTGTTCTCCATGACGTGGGCGTTGACGTCCCACAGCTCCCGGAGTCTTTCTACGGTCGGTCCGAGGTCGGCGACCAGCAACGATGGGTACAACTGCTGGGGAAACAGGCACATCAGAGCGCAGCATGATGGAAACCAATCCGAACAGTAAGCTGAACGAGTAGTCCAAAATGAGCAACAGAATGGCAAATTTCCTGCAGATGGGACTGAAACCCCGTGCACTGCCAGCATATTTGCATGAACGTGTGGCTGTGCAATCATGGCCCATGTCAAAAACGCGATGCAAGACGGGCACGCTTTGAAGGTTTGTGTCCCCTGTGCAACTAGATCTTGTGCCCTATACGCCTATACACTTCAATGGGATGGGAACTCTCGTGCGGACCTTGAAGCGACCTTGTTTACATGCCAACCACACACAGGACACTGGGAACACAGAAAATATACAGTTGCCATAGTCATTGACAGTGCTGCATCCGGAAGCACCACCACACCGTTACAGCACCCATTGTCACAGTTTGGTGACGCGCACACGTACGCTGGGCATGGCACAAGGGGGTTATTGCAACAGCTATGCACAGCACTTCCAGGAGCGCCACACTCGCAATTAGCAGCGCCCGAAGTGTCAAGCAGTATTGTTGGGTGCTGCAGCTGGCTCGCTGGTTGAGGATCGCCTTGATGAGGCTGCTTGCATTGGTCCACTCGCACCAACGTCATTTGAAGCCTGCCTCACCTTTCACATCCCCAAAGATGCATGGAGACTTTGTGCGAACGTTGACGTAAGTGCTCCAAGGATCAATACATGATCACATCGCACATCCATCGCTGGCTCGTCACCAATAAAAGTGGCAGTAGCACAAGCATCAGCAGTAGGGAATGGCCCGCCTGTCATTCCCCTTTGGGCTGAACAACTGGCACAGTTTTTTTTTACTTCTTTATTTCTTTGCCAGTGCCATCCGTTTTATGTTTCCTGATGCTAATTCTGTTCAACAGGCCACACTGCCAGCGAGTACACAATGCTGTTGAATCCAATTCTGCAACACCGTACCTGCACCAGCTCCCGAACATCGGCCCCCACCAGTTCCCTTTGGAGCAGGGCGTAGTTGCTCGCTACCTTCCTATCTACCTCATCTTGGTCCCCCTCAAAGAACAGCCTACAGAATAGGCAGCGCCCAATGTTACCAGTATACCCAGTACTGCAAATTCAGCGCCAATTCAGTTGCCAATTCAGCACACGTCCCAATACGATAGAATTTGCGTTTGCAGAACATAGACATACACAAACACAACGCAGCAAGTGCATTTGCAAATGCCACGGCCGCTCACCGTTCTTCATTGCATGCTGTCAGTAGTGTTCTCATTTCCCATCATATGGTCCAATTCCGCCTGTGCAGCGGAAACAGACAGTGTCCAACTGCAAGGCAGCAGCACCTCCTTTCCACTATCAAATGGCACCAATCCTTCTTCATTGCAATTCGGTCCTGGGTTCCTGTCTATCCTTCTATTCGCTGGTACAGAAGAGGGACTTCAGTTTCTTCTTCCTGCCTCCAATTCCCTTTTGCATCGCAATGAGCACTTTCGAATGAGAAAAAGAGGAAACCCAGCACTCACACCTGCATTTCTCCACCAATTCCGCCAAATGCATCTCTGCGCCCTTGTTCCTTACTGATCAACGCACTGAAAGGCATATAATCCTGGGCCCTGAGTCATCCCATACTTAGAAACAATGTTCACGAAGATTGCCCCAGGGCATTCTGCATATGGGTGCGAAAAAGAACTATCGCTACAAACAGCAAGGCACAGCAACACGACTGTCGCACTTGTGTCTCCAATATGAAGAAAAACTCATCCCAAACTGCATCATTTATGATAGATGTTCGCCCCAACCTCCCTGACAAAATCTGTGTGCACATGTGGCTGCTCATCGTCGCCTGGCAGCACTTGGTAGCTTCTGACAAATGCACTCAAAGGCTTCACACACCTGGTGTCAGCCTCCACCAGCTGTGAGACATTGCACTCTGGCAGGGCCTCCTTCAGGGAAATGAGGCGCTGCACAACAGCCCCAGGCTGCATCTCCAAAAGGTTGGGGCACTCCTTTGCAAGGGTGGTTGCCCAAGAGACTGGGCATGCAAGCAGGGCTGCCAGCTGCTGGGCCCGGGGATCTGCCTCCCCAACCTGTACATGAATGTTAATAGTCTCTGACTGCTTTGCTAAAGAACAGAACACAGCCCTTGCACTTTGCAGGTGCTGATGGCCATAAATGCACAAACACCGGACAGGTACCACAAGGTGTGCTTGCCTCCACGCATAGACAACAAAACACCTAAGGTACCAGAATAGGCCATACAATTCCAGCCAGGGTTCCCATTGGACTACCAAAATTCTTCCTGGAGAACCCTTGGCACATCTGCTCCAGCTAAACATTGCGTTCAGTGACAGCTGAATACATTTGAATGCCTGCATGTGGAACAGCAAGAGGTTTGGCCTTCTCAACATGCAACCACGCCCACAGACGATCGTGGCAGTGAAAGTCCAAAGGCAGGGTTTGTTTGTTGTTGTGTTTCTTGGCTGGATTGTCATCTGTACCTACGATTGCTTTCAGCTCATTGGTGATATGGCCAACATAGACTGTCCGCAAGAAACTTGAAGGGGGGCAATCACAGTGTGTGATTCTGAGCCGTTTGCTCAGCCCGCAGAGAAAATTTTCTGATGCTGTCAGCTGTCCACTGAGCAAAAAGGAAAACGAACAGGAGTCCTCCACAGTCGGATGTTGACATGAGCCCCACAAAGCACATGCCCTATTGACATTCATGATGCACTGTGCTGTGCACCAGAACATATCACTCCCTCAGCCACTATGCTGGAGTCCCAGCCTTCTTCTTAATAGCTTTTTCCTGGCTTAGAGGTTTATGGTGCACCCAGCACTAAAGTGACAGGAAGAGGGCATTTGAATGCTGCTGTGAGCATTGCTGTTGCCCCCAAGACTTCTACATCATTTGCAAAACTAGATAGAAAAAAGGCATAATGTAATAAGAAAAGATTGTCGCAATAGGTTTCACTCAGAAGGGTGAACAACAGGTCCAGAGGGTTTCCTAGGCTGACCTGTACGTCGGTGGGTGGCTCCTGTGGTGATGATTCTGATAGGTCGGCAGGCGTTGGGACATAGCCAGGCCGGGTGGAGACTCTGCTGTCCAGAGACTTGACCCAGGAACTCTCCAGCAGGCTGTGGTACCAGGCCAGGGGCCCCTCCTGAGGCAGCAGGATTACAGTGAGTTGGAGTGCGAAGGCACTGGGAATCGGAGAGCGAGGAAAAGGGTCATTGAGTGAGATCATAATGGGCTGCTTTTTCATTTTCTCTTTGCTTCCAGAATATCACTGCCAGGGAACAGGTGCCACTCAAGACCCAGCGGAAGACACACGTTCTGTTTACAACCTCACTAGGAAAATTGCTGCTGCGGCTGCGGCTGCTGCTGCTGCTGCTGCTATAAAAAAAACTACATGGATACACAAACAAAAGAGCACAGAAGGAAAATAGGACTGTGATTGTGGCAATACAGAAAACTAGTACCCTACCTTGTTGGAGAGTATGCGGGAGATATGCATGTGGGTGACTTGTTGTATGGTGAAAAGTGAGACACTGGCAAGGGGAACACATGTGCTGCACTGGACATTCATGTTCAGGAATCGCAGCAACACCTTGTGGTTGCCTATTCCCCATGCTTGTTGTATAGATGGGTGGCGCGCACAAGCACAACACCACAATGATGAATGGCAAAAGAATAAAACTAACACTAAATAGGACATTGAGTTCTTCACCGCCAGTTAGTCTCCAAAACATCCGCACAACATGACATCCTCGCACCTAGATTGCAGAGCAGTGCCCATCATGTTGCAATGGAAGCGCAAGACACAGTGCAAGACAATCCTTTAAAAATGGCAATGCTGCGAAGGAAAGGGACTAATGTGGCAAAGCCCTGCCCAAGGCAAATTCTGTGCAAGGAGCTGATGGCAACGCCAGCACCATGTGGCAGTCACCATTATTCCACTCAAACAAAAAGATCTGTGCTGTGTTTGTGCTTAGATCAGGTACCGGCAAGGATGCAAGACCCCACCTTGTTCTTGGGGTTGCCAAATGTGCCTTTGCCAAACCAATTCAAGAAGCCTGATAGGCTGGGCTGGTCTCCATTGACGGCATGGAGTGCATCTCTGATTTCGTCCATGGTACCATAGTCCTTGGGGTTCTTGGGCTGCCTCTTTGCAGCCTCCACAATGACACTGACAGCATGCAACATCAGGTCATATTCACAATCAAATATTTAAACCACATATCAAACACAATTGCAAATCAGCCAGCAGATATTGCCTGGTGCCAAATTGGACTTGCCCCTGGTGGGGTCATACCAGTTCTACTACCAGCAAGGCAATTGTGGAAATCGCTTTTCCGTGCTCTACCCCAATCTGATCCACACAATAAACACAAGAGAGCGAAAGCATCCTATTGGCTGGAGAATGCTTGATGTCAGTGCAGAACAGCCTCAATTCTTGAACAGAGCACAGAGCTACCATGAGCTGACTCACTTTCAGTGTGTTGGCCAGCCAATGGCGAATGGACCAATAAAGCTGCCTGGGAATCGATGGATCGGATCCTTTTCAAGGTCAAAGGCCACAGTGAGAGCATATCCCATACAGGCCCTATGCAACTAGAATGGTTCGGATACTGGATAGCCTGTTGCAAAGCGTATGAATCATGGAATGTGCACAAAGGAATAGTACAGTCGACATGAACGTGACTCACCAAAACTATGTTGGGCTGGTTTAATCAAGGACCATCAGCAAATGCAACAGCTCCTCGCTGTTTGGCAGGTTGCTGTGTCAATCGTCTTGCATGAGCAGCGCACTGTACAGCTTGTGGCCAGAGCTCTGTTGCAAGCATCCATGAACTATTGATGAATTTCTTGGGTCATGGGGTTCTGCGGCTGCCAAAAGCTGAGAGGGTGGACATGCACACACACCCTGACAATCCCTTGATGGCTCGTGCTGACTCATGCTGGCTCATGCTCTGGCCCATGACATTCTGTTGACTTATACGAAGATTACCCAATGAGCTCATAAAATGAGCTCAGTTCAGTTTGGCCCCAGTGGATGGTAACAATGCAAACATGTTTCGCATCGTGCACAACGTAGGGTGCAGCAATTCTGATATCTTGAGGAAAGCACATTGTGATTGCTAGGCAATTGTGTATTTCTGTTACAGTGTGCAGCTGCTGCACTTGCAACAGCTTCAATAAATGTTACTCTGCACCTAAGCAGTCCAGGATGGTGATGAAACAGTTGGCCAATCAATGCCATCCCATGACACAGGGTGGGAGACATCATATAATGATGTATCCAACTGGTCATAGCATGCGTCTCTGCAGAATTGAGTTCAGAAAAGAGCGTCAATATTTTTAAAGGCCTGTGAGAACTCACAAGAGCCTGGTGCAAAATTGCCAGGTGGACAAAGGGTTAAACGAGAGGCGAGGGATGCACGGGATTTCGATGCAAACTGCGACCACTAAATGCCAAAGCACTGATGGCTAATTCTTCAGACGGAAAGGGATGCAGGGGATCATGATGCAAACTGAGACTGCTAAATGCCAAAACACTGATGGCTAATTCTTCAGACGGAAAGCAAGCTCAGGGAAAGGCAGTGCAAACGTTTGCAATGAAGCCTAAGTGTACAACGCAACCGGGGAGCAAGGACACACCGCGACAGGGAAGTCACAGCCCTGAGACAAGCACGCATGTCCCTTGGGGCGAGCAGCGTGTGTCATGCGCACTGTAGTGTCTACACGGGCAAGAACGACGGCCCAGAAACCCAGCCACAGCCGTCACCGACGACCTAGCATTGAGCCCAAGCGCTACACCGCCGACAGTTCAACCGCCACCGAATCCAGCCGGCGACCAATCGCCGCGAATGCACGCAATCCCCAGACGCGCTCCGTGCGCGGCGACCTCCCGCTCACTACCCGCGCTTCCCGCCCGGGCCCCGCCCTGGCGCGAATCGGCCCCAACGCCCTCAGGCGCGCCAACGCCAGGCCTCCGCCCCGTCGCATCGCCTGCACCGCTCCACACCTGTGCTCGAAATTCCTTCCCAAAATTGAAATCCCTTCTTGAAATTCCGTCGTCCAACTGGAGTGGCGTCGCGCGTGCGGTCCCTGAGTTCGGCTGGGATATAGGCCATCATCACAAAATGCGGATTCCAAGGCACCGGGCCTGGCGGATGTACCTGCGCCCTTCGCGCACCTTGGCCTCCTGGAGCCGGCAGCGGTGGAGCGCCAGCCGCCCGTTGGTACCGACGCGGCCAGCATCGCGACGAGCGCGCCCTGCGACGGGAGCGGCAACAGAGGCCCAGGGAGCCAGCCTGGCGGATGGCAGGTTTTAAAGTGGTTGGAACCTGGTGCAAAAGTCGCTTTTGATGGCCAAAGTACACCGACGGTTGGGTTGGGTCCTCTTCGAAATGGGCGCTGTCGCACCATGCTCGCAAAAATGGTAGTCAAACGAGCTTGATGCTTAAAAATGCCAGGGAAGCTTCACCACAGCTTCCTTGGATGCCTTCAACTGCTATCGAATACTTATACTGCCCTTGATACTTTAGGTAGCTGGTAGTACGCCACACGCTCGCACACTGCACTAACGGCGTGTTCGAAGTACCGTAAAATATTCAACCCTCCCGCATCGGTCCATCCCAACCGTTACGTTTTTGCTCCGCATTTTCGTTCCGGACCGTTACGTTATTTTTTCTTTTGCTCCGCATCGTGTCGGGCGGGCTCGGGGGGGGGCTCTAGAGCCTGTATACCAAGTTTCAGGTGCAACGGACGAGTCCCAAGCCTCGTACGTGCATGCACCGTACGACACCAACCACCCGGCTCTGGGGACGCTTCCCAAGAGTCCTAGTGACTTGCGAGGAGAGGCGCGGCTGTGGACAGTGGGCGTCGAGTGCCATGGAACATGTGCTCTTGGGTGGAGCGACAGGCCGTGCGACGCGATCGGCTGCCCGGGTCGATCCGCGATGGCGCAGGCATATGCCTGCGATCGCTTCCCGCGGTTTGAGGCCCGACCCGCCCGGTGGGCAAGCGGCGGGCGCCGGCCTGCCTGCCGATCGACCGCCCAGTGGCCTGCCAGGTGCCGGGGCCAAGCCCGTTCCCAAGCCGAAGCCACTTGTTGCGCACCCTATTGGGTACGCCCCAGGACCGGCCCACGAGGGGCACGCGGAGAGAGCGGGGAACTCGGAAAGAATCTTACATTGGAAGCGTGTAACCACAAATATAATCGGGTGTTCATTTACCAAAATGATAGGTAATCAAATTATAGACACACTAATCCCCTAGTGTATCTAGTAAACCCAAATCTCACCCCAATATCGCAGTACAACGAAATGAAGTGAATCTCCAGTAAAACTGGATGCACCAGAATTCACAACATCACTTCCCCCCATAAGAAAGTGGCTGTCCCGAGACACGGAGTAAGTGAAGTAAAGAAAAACCCGACGAAACCCATGATATACAAAGGCCAAACAGAAACAAGGCCCCCGGCACCAACGATGTGCTCATGTACGGCCGGTACGGTGGCTCAGTTGCAACCTATAGATCCAAGTCCGGTTCGGTGCGCCGAACGCGATTACCCCCGAGACGTAAGACCCCATCACCAACTGTAACCATCCCACCGCATCAACGACCGGCACTCGGAACTCCCCGGCGACACCATCACTTGTTTTGTTTTCCTTTTGTTTTCCGGGATTGCTTTGGCTCAGATGCAACGACCCGGCACAGGTAATCCTCTAGGAGGGCGGAAGCATTACGGAGATGCGATTCAGGCTCCCAGGAAGCCTCAGTCACTGGATGACCTTTCCAGAGGACCTGATAGAGGCGCCGGGCTCCTGTGCCCTTATGCCTCAGAATCGCTTCCACCTCATACTCCTCCTCTCCGTCAACCAATATCGGGGGAGGTGGCTTCTCCACCCGTGCGAACCTCTCTGAACGGATATGTCTCCGCAAGTTGGAAACGTGGAAGACTGGATGAATCTTCCAACCTGAGGGAAGACGCAACTCGTAAGCCACTGAAGAAATCACCCTGACTACTGGGAAGGGACCGACCCAGCGTCGTCTGACTTTGGACGGAAGATGCTGGTCGACACTCAAATTCCGCGTTGCCAGTAATACTTCATCACCAACCTCATAACCCTCATCCCGACGCGACTTATTTGCCTGATACTGAGCACGGCGTTGCGCGTGGGCAAGGTTGGCCTGTGCTTCCTCCAGGGCAGTCTTCATCCGTTCCACCATCTGTTGTACAGCTTCTACTCGGGAGGTTCCATGTCCTTGTAATATCGATGTAGGCAAAATTGGATGGTCTCCCGAGTTAAGGAAAAATGGTGAATAACCCGTGGCCACATTTTCAGCGTTGTTCGCGGCGAATTCCGCTAACGGCAATTGCTTCACCCAGTGTTGTGGATCTCGTTCAATATACGGTCGTAGGAAGTTTTCCAGCGTTTGTATGGCCCTCTCACTCTGGCCATCCGTCTGAGGATGAAACGCTGTACTGAACCGGAGATCAGTGCCCAGTAGGTCAAATAGACCTTTCCAGAATTTACTGGTAAATCTCAGATCTCGGTCAGATATTATGACTTCCGGTAGACCGTGTAGACGGAAGACATGGTCAACAAACAATCGGGCATATTCCATGGTTGTTACTTCTTTCCTGCATGGGGCAAAGTGAACCATTTTGGTGTAACGGTCCACAAATACTGCAATAGCAGTATAGCCGTCCGATTCTGGTAAGTCAGTGACCAGATCGGTTGTCACCTGAGCCCATTTCCGTGAGGGAATCTCTAAGGGCTGCAGAAGACCGGCTTTGACCCTGTTATCCGACTTCATCTGCTGACAGGTCGGACAACTCCTGACGTATGAAGTAACATCTCCTCTGAGTCCATGCCAATGGAATTGCCTGTCCACTTGTTCCAATGTCCTGCGTATGCCCACGTGTCCAGCAGTGGGACTATCGTGGCATTCCCTCAAGATGTTCTGATGCAAGGACGCAGGTACAACGATCTTCACTTGACCATGCTTCTTTATCCCAATCAATCCACTGGGTGTCAACAAGTAGTCATCTGCTCTTTGACCTTGCCGTAAAGTACTCAACACTGTCCCCAGACGTGGATCTGTCTCATATGCTATGATCCATCTATGGCACTCCTCCTGATCCATCTCCATGTGAGTTGTCACGGTAAAGAGGGAACCGGTATTCTCTGTCTCGTGTTCTGCCGGTTCCACTATACTCCTCTGACTCCTACTCAGAGCATCGGCGATAATGTTTGCTTTCCCAGGATGGTACTTGATCATGGGATTGATCGACTGAAACAACCCCAATTGCATCCACCTGGTCTGCACCCGGGTAAGCACTGGCTAGTCCATAATGCGGTTTAATGCTTGGCGGTCAGAATGACCACCCCGCCAGGACAGCCCTCCACATAATGTCGCCAGCTCTGTAAGCAGTACGCCATTGCAGCCAGTTCGCGTTCATAAGCCAAATACCTCTGTTCTGTCGGCTTGAGTCGTCTACTCAGAAACGCGACTGGTTTCAAGCCATCTCCCTGATCCTGTAATAATGCACCTCCCGCACCTGTGCCCGAGGCATCGGTGAAAATCGTATACGGGAGTTTAGGATCTGGGAAAATCAGAATTGGCGCACGACAGAAAGCCTCTTTCATGGCAGCAAACGCGTTTTTCTGATATGGGCCCCATTGCCATGCCATCTCCTTCTTCGTGAGATCAGTCATAGGCCCGGCAATGTCACTGTAATTCCGAATGTACCTCCGGTAATAATTCGTGAACCCCAAGAACGAACGAATGTCTATTACGTTCTGGGGTGTGGCCCAATCGCGTATTGCCTGTAGTTTGACCTCTGTCGGGGTCAGTCCTCCACCACATATCTGGTGTCCGAGGAACTCCACTGAATTCTTGACAAAACTCACATTTTGAAGCTTTTGCAAAGAGTCGATGTTCCCGCAATTTCTGCAGCACTTGGCGCACGTGTTCAGTATGCTGGTCTAACGTGGCAGAATATATTAAAATATCATCCAAGAAAACAAGGATGAATCGGTCGAGATACTCTCCTAGGAGATCGTTCATCATGTTCATAAACTGCGCTGGGGCATTGGTAACACCGAAGGGCATCACCAAATACTCGAATAGACCCCAACGAGTTTTGAATGCCGTCTTCTGAACGTCTCCTTCTCGCACCGGTATCTGCCAGTAACCAGATTTCAAATCGATTTTACTGAACACTTTTGAACCGCCCAGACGATCAAATAACTCCTCCGGTAACGGGAGGGGATATTGATTCCGGATCGTCTTTTTGTTCAGCCAGTGGTAATCCACACAAAACCGCAAGCTTCCGTCCTTTTTAGGAACGAATAGGACGGGTGCGCCATATGGGGATTCGGAAGGGCGAATAAACTTGTGCTCAAGCAGCATCTCGATCTGCTTCTTCGCCTCGGCCAACTCGAGCAGGCTCAGTTTATATAGGGGCCGATGGACCGGAGGGACGTCATCCTCCAAATCTATCTTAAACTGGTGCCCCTTTCGTACAGGTGGAAGCCCAATCGGTAATTCGTCCGGAAAGACGTCGGAATACTCCTGGAGGATTCCCTTCAATTGTTCAGGGAGATCCTCTCGCTGTAATTGCGATGAGTATAAATCCGATTGGGTCTTCCCCTCATGTTCTTCCACTGGTTCCGTCACCTTCCGAATCATCCCCAGAAATGCTCGTGTTTGAGGCTTTTTCCTCAGTAATCGACTCATTTGTTTTGCACTGATCATGGTCACCAATTCCTCTGATGGTACTCTTTTCTGCGTGGCAAGGGGTAGTTCAATCCACTTTTGTCCTTGCTTGACAGTTACTACCCCGCGAGTCCAATCAATGTGGGGATTCTCCTTCTGTAACCAGGGGATACCCAAAATCATAGGTTTTTGCAGACCAGGGAATACCTTCGCCTGGACCGTTCCCCGATATCCACCACATTTGAATCGCAACTGGACTTTGCCTTTTGTCTGGGTTTTGGTACCATCAGCCATGGTCAGTGTATCAGGAAGGGGATCCTCCTCCACTTTCACCTTATGAGCTGCACACACTTGAGCGGAAATGTAATTTCCGGTCGATCCAGAATCGATCAGAAACCTCCATGTTTTCCTGCCGATACGACCGATTAACTCAAGTGTTCTCAGGTGCGCTCGCCCACATTGACTGGCACCAAATACCGAAATGCTAGTCTGTGGTCTCTCCTTGGTTACTTCCCCTGTGGTACTGTCGG